GAACACCTGGACCAAGATGACATTAGGTCTCTTATTTTGGGTATAGGCCGTCTTTACCAAGAAGTTTTTCGGGCTCGCGGAGGATATACTCGCTACTGACACTTTCGTTTATCTTGTGACTTCGCATTATGTTTCGATTTTTCGATATTTAATTTGGATATTAATTTTCACTTGTAATACCATTAGAGGTCAAATTATTTCCGGAAATTCCCGGAAAGTAATTTGACCTCGTGTGGTATTCGGTAAGAAAATTTCACACCAGATTGTGTTTGGAAATCGAATAATTTTAGAATTTATTTGTTCATTTGATTTGCATACAGGTTCATGAATAAATTTAGTTTCGCAGTTTCGGCACCAATTATAGATTCCTGATTTCTACCTATTATATTAGCATGAAAATAGTTTAAAATGTAACATATTATATTCTTCCATTTTATATTAACTTCGGGATACTACAAGTGATAAGAAATTATAATTTTGTCAATTAATTTTTCATAGGTATAGGTACATACTAGTAGTAGTAGAGTAAGGGAAGGCGATCGCCTAGCAAGTAGGCCCCAGTAAGCCTTTTTTGCCGAATCCTGCTGCACACGTCATGGGCACATAATATCTACTATTCCTTCTTCTAATTCTCCCTTTTCGAATCTTCGTGCATTTCTGATGAAGGTCAGTATGTCCGTCCAACTCAGTAATTTGATCTTCCTGTTGAAGCGTATCAGTACCAGAGATTTCGAATTTTAGCCTTCCATAACGCCTTACACTGGCCCAGGTTGTGGTTCGATATTCTATGTAATAGATGCACTTAGGGCATCAATGGATTGTTAGCCTATTGTTGATTTCTACCCAATTGAAGTGGCACAAAACCACTATTTTAAGACGTCAAATATTATTCTATCATTAAAACGCCATAAAAAAAATCCGATTTCATACGCTGGTGGGTTCACACGAGAAAAAAATGTCCACTAAAATACATACGTTGCTATGGTAATTTGACATAAAAACCCAATTCAACTGTATAAAAACCACTGGTGTGGAATTTTCCATAAAATCATTCAATGCTATAAAATGGCGTTTCTCGAGTAATAGGAAAGATAATAGAGTGAATCCAAAGTAGAAAAGTTGAAAAACGATGAAGCTAAATTGTGATTTCAATTCTAACTCGCAAGTGTAACTACTACACTGTGCAGGGTATTACAAATTTCATGAAAAAAACACGCTGTAATTGGTTACACCCGGTATATATATAAAAGAGGTTTTTATGCGAATGCAGTTTCAAAACCGATCTTCAGAAGGAAATATCTCATCAATCAATACAAAAATCGTCCAAATGGGATAAAAGTGCGTTGATTTCTTGGAGTAGTGTATTATCTATCAGTAATAAGATGAAAAAAAGCTCTTATAAAGTATATTGTACTACTACTCTACCTAGACGATAGGCATTTTACAATTAATAATGATAACCAATATTGGACACTTTATCTTGTAGATTTGTCATATGTCGCTAATTTATGTAAATATACCCAAACGTTTTGGCTGGTTTTTCTTAGTTTCACCAATACTAGTCAGTTTCTTTATCTATCTGTTGCCATTATTATCCGAATTCTTAAGATTATAGAAGAAATTACCTAATTGTTGTGTTATGTATTTACCAAAATATGTTGCATACAAAATTAAATCACTTCCTTACTGATTGGTTCTATCAGTAAATTCATAGGACATCATTAACACTTATTAGCAATATTCCTGTGTTACCTTCTCTCTGATTCTTTGGGATTTTCTCTCCTCATTCACATCAGTTTATTTCGATATATATGTAGTAACAAAAGTCAGATGAATTTGCTCCAAAATGTCACTGCGTTTAAAAATTTCACTATTACAGTACCTTCAAGATGAATGAGATGGATATTCAGTGCCACTTTATTTCGAAAAATATTTGAAGAAAAGAAATACAGATATAAAAAAATCAATTAGTTTTTGTCGTTTTGAGAAGGAATCAGCTTTGGTTTCAACATAAAAATGAAGAATTGTTTTTGTAAATAATTCTTTATTTTTTTCTTTTTGACACATCTCAGAGATTCAAGAATAGAATAATGTGTGAGTTACAGGGAGTTAGTTCTTGCATTTGCCATTTTCATATTCGGATATTAGGAGTGAGTAGTTCTATATCAACTAAACAACTCCGTTCAAAAAAATAATATAAGTGGAAACTTCTTTATGTTTCCTTTTCTTTCTATGATTTTAATATCATTCCACTCAGCCATATTAAGTTGTCCAATTTCAGTATTGTTCTTGTGTTCTTTCGTCCTCACCAAGAGAGGTCTCTTTGTACCACTTGTATCATACTTTTCACAAGCACAAGGTATACTGTTGATTCATTTCTTCGATGATTGTTCTTCATTTTTCAATTCTGTTCAAGTTTATTTTTTTTCAGATATGCCGGGAATGTATTGTATTTTTTTATTATTATCATTATCTCTGAAATGAAGCCAGGCGATTTTGACCTTTTAAAGAAAAAATCACCTTTTTAAAAACTTAACACCCTGTATCTCGTGAACAAAGCATTTTTTGGCCCATATGAACTATACAAATTTGAAATCCCTTGTATTTATGAATTAGTACTAACCTCCAAAAGGGGTGAGTAGACTTATCTCTTCTAGGAATAATTAAATAGAAGTGGAATATAATAATAATGTTTAATTGATCAATAATGGATACGATACTACTAGTTATAAAGTTATAACAAAATATCATTATTTTGTTTTCATCGAAATAACATGTCCTGAAGGCATGTATTATATGTATACATTGTATTTACATACATTGTATGGAATTGTAAATCTCGAAACCCTACCAGTGCCATCCCTTGATCTGAGTCAAATCCGCCGTACAGAGATTTTTGTTGCTACCGCTATACCGGTCATACATTCGTCACGTAATAACGAGTCGAAAAAAGTGCAGATGGAAGGGGATAATGTCCCCTTCGCGAATATACAAACGTGCAGTGATTCAAACTGATCTAAGTTAGTGGCAGAGCATCAATATTTCCCACAATCTTCAAAGATAATATCCGATAGATCATCGGTTCGATAATTTGGTTCATCGGATATTATCTTTCGACTGGCGAAATATTCTTGAAAATATTTACTTTCTGCCACTAACTTGAATCAGTTTGCATTTTGTTTCAACTCGTTGACACGTGACATAAGTATGTCTGGAATAGCGGTTGCAAAAGATCGTTGTGCCGAGAATTTGACTCAACTTGAGGGATGGTACAGGAACGGGTTTTGAGATCTACCATTCAATTAGTATCGGATGGCATGATTCTTGTCTCGTTATCGAATCGCAAAATTTATTGCAAATTACCGCACAGAAAAGTGCCATATTTCAATCATTTTGCTCAGAATATTGATTTGCACAGGTGCCGTTCGTAAAATACAATGTAGCTACATGCCTTTGAAACATATACCGTTTCGTGATCAGATGACGGTCGAAATTTACATGGACTATAAGATGACAGTCAACTCTAAGTTAGTGTCACTTGAGGTTTCTCTATTTGACGAATATCCAAATAAGTCATGGAAACCATCTATTCTCAAAGTGGTGCAGTATTTTTCAAAAGGAGAAAAAGAACAAACTCAAAGTCGGTCGACCACAAAATTCAATATAAGACACTCCTGTGTGTGATTAGTTTCGGCATCATGGCCATCTTCAGACACAATAGTGAGGAAGAAGTACCGGAAAATTACAAAGATCTTAAATCTAAGACAATATGTCAGCTGAGAAAGTAAATACACCTTTTTTTGAAGTAATAACTACATAGGTAACTAAAAAATTTTTAATGAGGTCTAATATAGAAAGATCAGTCCGGTTTGAGATTAAATGACTTTGAAGCGACTGAAAATCCAAAAGAACTCAACTAGGAGTAAGTTCAAAATCGGTAATTAAATTGAAGAAAAATTAATAAAAATCTACTTAAAGAGCTTTATCTCCATTCGAGGCAAGCCATCGAAAGGAAAGACACAGAGAGAGGCAGAATTATAAATGTTGATTTGACTTTGACATTTGACATGACAGTGTTAACAAGTTTGAAGTCAGAATGCAATTTAAATATGAAAAATGAGTAGAATCAAAGCAAACAGTAACTAGTTTTGACTTCAATACTGTTTGCTTTGATTCTAATCGTTTTTCATATGTATTTTGGTTTTCATTCTGACTTCAAAATTGTCAACATTGTCATGTCAAATATCAAATTTGAACCAACATTTATAATTATGCCTCTCTAAGGGTTGGTTGCATGATGCTGTCTGTTAATCTGTTAATTTAACGAGTAATCCACTCTTCTAACTCATCAGCTAAGGTAGACGTTGCTATGGATACAAACAAATCAAATATTTATTCGTCTGTTTAACGATTTATGCAACCGGCCCTATGTCTTTCCTTTAGATGGCTTGCCTCGAATGGAGATGAGGCTCTTTGAGTAGATTTGTATTAATTCTTGCTTAATTCACCTACCGATGTTGAACCTACTCTTAGTTAAGTTATTTTGGCTTTTCAGTCGTTTCAAAGTCATTTAAATCTCAAACCGGATTGATTTTTCTATATAGAACCTGATTCAAAAATTTTATTTAGTTATTACTTCAAAAAAAGGTATGTACGTTCTCAGCTGACATATTGTCTTAGATTTAAGATCTTTGTGATTTCCAGATACTTCTTCCTTACTATTGTGTCTGAAAATGGCCATGATGCCAAAACTATCACACACATGAGTGTTTCATATTAAATTTTGTAGTCGACCGACTTTGAGTTTGTTTCTTTTCTCTCCTTTCGGAACATCCAAATAAGGCTACTGAGTCGTACCATTGCGATTTCTTTTTGTTTCTACCGCATCTTATTATTTCAATCAGGTAAAAAGATCAAAAGGCTGTATTGACTTTATGAGCTCCATCTATAATAGCTAGTTAATATACAGAGGAAACGTAATATCTACATACATTAAATAATTACGCTACTAAATTAGGCCTCATTAATGCCCCCATGCCATTGCCGAATGGCGAGCTACTAGAGCGCAACAATTCTGTCGCCCCATTCCAGGCTCCTGATAACGGGGCCATTACCAGCCTGAAGGGATCCGGTGTTCCGTTCACTCCAGAGTTGAGTGCCAATTGGATCGGCCTGAATATCGCATCGATGACATTGCTGAATGGCAAGCCATTAGAAGATCCATTCGAGGCTCCTAATATCGGAGCTAATGCCATCCTGAAGGCATCCAACGTTCCGTTTGCGCCAGAGCCAAATGATCTCATTGCCGTCTCAATGAAATCGCCGAATGGTGAGCCCGATGAGCGCAAAAAGTCTGAAACCCCATTAGATGCTCCTGTGAGTGGTGGTAAATCCGGCCCACTGGGATTCTGTGTTGCGTTCCCTCCAGGGTTCAATGCTGATCGAAATTGCCTCAGCATCGCCTGAATCACATTGCCGAATGGCGAGCCAGTTGAGCGCAATAATTCCGAAAATCCATTCCATACCCCTAATATTGGTGCTGAAGCCAACCCAACTGGATCTGGAGCTCCATTCATTCCAGAGTTGAGTGCTGATTGGAATGGTTCTATCATTGCCTGAATAATATTGCCGAAAGGAGAGCCAGTTGTGCGCAAAAATTCCGAAGCACCGTTCAATACTCCTAATATTGGTGCTGACACTAACCTAATTGGATTTGTTGTTTCGTTTATTCCAGAGCTGAGTGCTGATTGGATTGGCCTAATTACTGCCTGAATAATATTGCCGAATGGAGAGCCAGTTGTGCGCAAAAATTCGGAAGCCCCATTCAATACTCCTAATATTGGTGCTGAAACTAACCCAATTGGATTTGTTGTTCCGTTTATTCCAGAGTTGAGTGCTGATTGGAATGGTCCTATTACTGCCTGAATAATATTGCCGAATGGCGAGCCAGTCGAACGCAAAAATTGTGAGGTTCCATTCCATAACCCTAATATGGGGGCTGAAGTCAACCCTATTGGATTTGGTATTCCGTTCATTCCAGAATTAAGTGCTGCTTGGAATGGCTCGATGACTGCCTGAATAATATTGCCGAACGGAGAGCCAGTTGTGCGCAAAAATTGCGAAACCCCATTCAATACTCCTAATATTGGTGCTGAAACTAAACCAATTGGATTTGGCGTTCCGTTCATTCCAGAGTTGAGTGCTGATTGGAATGGCTCTATCAATGCTTGAATAATATTGCCAAAAGGCGAGCCAGTTGAACGCAAAAATTGTGAAGTTCCATTCCATAACCCTAATATTGGTGCTGAAGTCAACCCAATTGGATTTGGTATTCCGTTTATTCCAGAGTTGAGTGTTGATTGGAGTGGCCCTATTACTGCCTGAATAATATTGCCGAATGGAGAGCCAGTTGTGCGCAATAATTCCGAAGCTCCATTCAACACTCCTAATATTGGTGCTGAAGCCAACCCGATTGGATTTGGTGATCCGAATACTCCTGAGTTCAGTGCTGATTGGAATGGCCTTGTGACTGCCTGAATAATATTTCCGAAGGGCAAGCCAATAGTTCGCAAAAATTCTGTAGCCCCATTCCATGCTCCCAATATTGGTGCTGAAGTCAACCCAATTGGATTCGGTATTCCATTCAACCCAGAGTTGAGTGCTGATTGGAATGGCCTCATTATTTCCTCAATAACATTGTTAAATGCCAAGCCATTTGAGCGCAACAACTCTATAGTCCCATTCCATGCCCCTGATACTGGTGCTAAAGCTAAGCCAATGGGATTTGGTACACCGTTTCCCCCAGAGTTTATTGCTGATTCGAATGGCCTCACTACTGCCTCAAAAACATTGCCGTATGGCGAGCCAATTGAACGCAAGAACGCTGAAGCGCCATTCAATACTCCTGTTATTGGTGCTGATGCCAATCCAACGAAATTTGGTGTTCCGTCTACTCCAGAGTTGAGTGCTGATTGGAATGGCCTCAGGATTGCCTCAATTGCATTGCCGAATGGTGAGCCGGTTGAACGCAAGAATTCCGAAGCTCCATTCAATACTCCTAATATTGGTGCTGAAACTAACCCAATGAAATTTGGTATTCCGTTAACTCCAGAGTTTAGTGCTGATTGGAATGGTCTAATGATCCCCTCAATAACATTGCCAAATGGTGAGCCAGTTGAACTCAAAAATTGTGAGGTTCCATTCCATAACCCTAATATTGGTGCTGAAGCCAACTCAATGGGATTCGGTGTTCCATTCACTCCAGGGTTGAGTGCTGATTGGAATGGCCTCAGGAATGCGTCAATTGCATTGCCGAATGGCGAACCAGTTGAACGCAAGAATTCCGACGCTCCATTCCATACCCCTAATATTGGTGCTGAAGCTAACCCAACGAGATTTGGTGTTCCGTTCACTCCTGAGTTTAGTGCTGATTGGAATGGTCTAATGATCCCCTCAATCACATTGCCGAATGGTGAGCCAGTTGAGCGCAAAAATTCTGTAATACCATTCGATGCCCCTAATATTGGTGCAAAAACCAACCCGATTGGATTCGGTGTTCCGTTTATTCCAGAGTTTAGTGCTGTTTGGAATGGCCTTATTATTGCGTCAATAACGTTGCCGAGTGGTGAGCCAGTTGAGCGCAACAGTTGTGAAGCTCCGTTCCAGGCTCCTGTTATTGGTGCTAGTAGTAACTCGAATGCGTTTGGTGTTGCGTTCACTCCAGGGTTAAGTGCTGATTGGAATGGCCTTATTATTGCGTCAGTGATATTGCCGAACGGCGAGCCAGTAGAGCGTAGAAATTCAGAAGCCCCATTCCAGACCCCAAGTATTGGTGCTACAGCCAACCCGATGGGATTCGGTGTTCCGTTTACTCCTGAGTTGAGGGCTAATTGGAATGGCCTTATTATTGCGTCAGTGATATTGCCGAACGGCGAGCCAGTAGAGCGTAGAAATTCTGAAGCTCCATTCCAGACTCCAAGTATTGGTGCTAAAGCGAACCCAATGGGATTCGGTGTTCCGTTTACTCCTGAGGTGAGGGCTTGTTGGAACGGCCTCAACACTGCTTCAATGATATTGCCGAATGGAGCTCTGTTTTGAACTTCGGCGAGTCTCGAAAATATAGGCCCCATCAATGTCGAGTGAATACTGGAATTTGAGGTATCGGAGCTCATATTGAATAGGCGAAATATATCCGATGCAACGTTGCTGGCTCCAGGTATCGAGGAGAATGGCGCTAGTAGTGGCAGAATACTATCGCCGAACCTAGAGCGAAGAGCTGCCAAAGATGCCGAGATGAAATTAACCCTGTTCAAAAGATCCGATCGGATATAATCTTGCAGTGGTCCAAACCCGATATTTCTAGATATTATTGATAGTGGATTGTTTTCCACGATAGGAAAAAATGCATTCAGAGGGTTATTGGTGCCAGAAGGAAATATTCCACCTGAAGGATTGTTGCCATCAGAAGGACCGTTAGGTGGAAATAATCCCATGAGAGGATTGTTCGCGATTTGAGAAGCTATCGAACCAAGAGGATTCATGCCATTAGGAGGAAAGATCCCTGCAAGAGGATTGATGCCATTAGGAGGAAAGAACCCTGTAAGAGGATTGGTACCATTGAGAGGTAATATTCCCATAAGTGGATTGTTGTTAGCAATTTGAGAAGCTATCGAACCAAGTGGATTGATGCCATTAGGAGGAAAGATACCTGTAAGAGGATTGGTGCCATTAGGAGGAAAGATACCTGTAAGAGGATTGGAGCTATTAGGAGGAAATATTCCTGTAAGAGGATTGAGGTTGGCTATTTGAGAACCTATAGAGCCGAAAGGATTGGTCAAGTTTGGAGTAAATACACCCATAAGAGGATTGTGGTTGGCGATTTGAGAAGCCATCGAGCCAAGTGGATTGGTGTTATTAACAGGAAACATTCCCGTAAAAGGATTGTTGTTGGCGATTTGAGAAGCAATCGAGCCAATTGGATTGTTGCCATTGAAAGGAGATATTCCAGTGAAAGGATTATTATTCGCCAATTGGGAAGCCATTGTGCCAAGTGGATTGGTGCCGTTTGGAGAAAATATTCCCGTGAGCGGATTGTTGTTCGCCATTTGAGAAGCCATTGCACCAAGTGGATTGGTTCCGTTCGGAGGAAATAGTCCCGTTAAAGGATTGTTGTTCGCTATTTGTGAAGCCATTGCGCCAAGTGGATTGGTGCCGTTCGGAGGAAATAGTCCCGTTAAAGGATTGTTGTTCGCTATTTGTGAAGTCATTGCTCCAAGTGGATTTGTTCCATTTAGAGGAGATAGTCCCGTGAGGTTGTTGTTCGCCATTTGAGAAGCCATCGAGCCAAGAGGATTGGTACCATTAAGAGTAACCAATCCTGTAAGAGGATTGTTGTTTGCGATTTGAGATCCAACTGCATTCAAAGGATTGTTGTTTGCTATTTGAGATCCGATTGCATTGAGAGGGTTGTTGTTTGCGATTTGAGATTCAATTGCATTGAGAGGATTGTTGTTTGCGATCTGAGATCCAAATAAATTTAGAGGATTGTTGCTGAAGTTAGGAGTGATGCCATTCCCAATTATATTCAAAGGATTAAATGCCCTAAGTGCGTTATTGACAGTGTTCGTGGCGTCTTGAAATCCATTATTGAGTGTCGAGCCGATAGAACCCAAAGCTGATGTTCCTTGGTTGGCGAAGTTTCCGAATCCTGTGGGCATCAGGTCGCTGCCGGCGTTGTTGTTGCTAGGGTTCAGGAGGTTGAAGGGACTTTGCATTCCAGACCTGCCCATTTCTGTGAAATAATTAGTAAATACCGGGTAATTTAAATTTGACGCCACCATTGGGATCTCGGAAACTATAGGAGATTCGAAGATGGTTAAACTGAAATTCTGTAAAAACTTTTCTGGCAATAGTCGTTGAATAATATCAAAATTAATAAAACATTCACATGGCCACTTTTTCCCTGCTATACAATGACATTTTCAGATTCACCATCCGACGTTTCATCTTTACGCCACCATCATCAATTTTATTTTTTCTTATGGGCTCCATATCTGACTTTCATTAATAATGATAAATTTTGCTCTTCTGATTTTAACGATGTATAACACGTTATACTTGGCAACCTCCAAAGCTTGGATATTTGAAAAAATATATTGTTTTTGTAATTGGCCTTGACTCAGTCAATAACAGCATAGTTGGAGAATGTCGGTCTATAAGAAGAAGATGTAATAAGGACAAGTTTATTAAATAGTTTCATCATGTCTGCTTCGTTTGGAGAAATCATTTTACGTGTATTATTATTCTGAAAGAGTGACAGCAGACGTGAAAAATGATGATGTTCAACAAATCGACTATTTTGACGAGTGTCATTTGACTGCAGTGGAGTGCAATGGTACATATGTAAGGGTAGGCAAAAATTTAAAAATGTGAAGTGCAAAAAACAAAGATGGAGATGATCCGACATTGAGCCGTTCCGTTTCCGTAGTAAATCCTGACATGTTGCCTATTCACAAAACTAAATTGGGAATGTGACCAATGGTTGTCGCACTATCACATTTCGCCAATAAATCTGTAAATTTCAGAATGTCGGCACAATTTCATCCAAAAAAGTAGCCCTAATTGCGATAAATCATCACACCTGGCAACATTGAGTCCCTGACCGTCTTCCGTATGCGCTCTTATTATTGTTCGTAATCGCTCAGATCCCCGGTCGGTGGAAATCGGCCCGCTCTGCGTCGTCACGGCTCGAGTGTCAATGGCTTGCAGGTCGAAAGCAATGCTTTTTCGCTGCATATCAATTTCTATTGATCAGGCCAATTGTTTTGTTTTTATTTTTAATGGGATGCTTATTTGCTTACACAGAGTAGAGTGCCAATAACGGTGGCGCAGCGACTGCTTTATATTCGTTTTCACGGATTGTATAATATTATCATGAAGAGAGATTTTTTTGTTGGGTTTTTGCAGTCTGAATTTAACATGTCTTATTAGTTGCTTGCCTCTAGTATTGTAATTATGGAAGTCGGCATTTATGTCAAAATTATTTTTCTTCTTGAGTATCTCAAGGATTGACTGAAAAATATAAATCGAGGGTACCGTCATGAATCTTAGAGTTAGAAAATGAGGTCTACAAGAGTCAGCATAGCCTATACCTGCTATGCTTATTATTGCGCCATAGGATATTCGTGAATGAAAGAATGCATAATATGCCGCTAATTGGGCACGAGGACTGATAATAGTTCTCAATTTCCGTAGTAGAAATATGTATTTTGATAAATTTACGCACAGCTGCTCCGTCTGAGTTGACCAATTTAGTTTGTCATCCAGTGTGATGCCAAGCAGTTTCACACTATTACCATTAGCTTCCTGAGTATTAGAGATGAATACGATATGTTGTGTTTTATTCTTGTTCAGTTTCAGGTTGTTTACTCTGAACCAGGTTTCGACTTTTTTTTTTATTGTTCTTTAGTTCTGACCTATTTTTTCACACGAGCTTGTTAGAGTTGTGTCATCCGCCAAAGCAACACATCTATATGGGGACATATTTGGAACAAGGTCATTTATATATATAATAAATAATAGTGGGCCCAGCACTGAACCCTGTGGAACCCCATATTTCACCCACTATCTCGAAATCAGATACACTATTCGAGTTCAATGCAACGCAAAGTTGTCTATTTGATCGATAAGATGAGAAGAGTGAGAGAGTTACTCCCCTGATACCATACCATCCTAGTTTTTTAGTAAGTAAGGAGTGTGACACACAATCGAATGCTTTTGTCAATTCACAGAGAACAGCTGGAGTGCTCACAGTTTTCAAATCCTTCAATGATTTCATCAACTACTATATTCCGGCAAAAGAAAATTGTGTATCGATAATTGGAATTTTATGCTTCTATTGTATGCACGCCACTGTTTGACTGAGTGGAGGCAAACTACAAAAACTATTTATTTTTTTCAAATATCCGAGGTTGTGAAAAAAATTATTTTACAGAGTTTCAGTTGCTTCCGTAAATCTCCGGAAATACTCGAAATATATGAATTTTCTTGGCGGCATATGTTTAGTCACATGAATGCGCAACTTTGCTCAGATTTAACCATCTTCTTATCTCCTATAATTTCCGAGATCCCAATGTTGGGGATCGAATTTGAAACACCCGGTATTAACTGATAGTCGAATTGAGTGGTCCACCTGAATATTTCACGGTCTTTTGAAATCAGATATTTCGAAAAATACTGTTCAGATCGTGGAACTCTTTGTTTCAAGCTGTATAATGATTTAGGTTCCAGATGCGACATCTACAGGGCGAAATCAAAAACAATATTTTCATCCCTTTTACAAAATTTTCATCTTCGCTATTTTCGCGGCAGCGTTTTGGAATTGTTTGATGTGTTTTGACTGAACGTTTTCGAGATTTTTTTCTGCTAGCCGATCTAAAAAAACACCAGATTTTTTTGATTGCAATACATTTGATGCCAGGTTGTCCTTAGTAAACCAGAATGTACTTCCATTAAGTTAGCAGGACCACTGTAGATGCTCCAATTTTTTTCTTCGGTCATAATTCAAGTCCAATTTATTAACCGATTGACGACTTTATTGCACTTTGATTTATGCAAAAACAAAAACGTGGGTTCAGTCACAAAACTAATTATACTATAATTCGAGGCTAATGTATGGCTCCAATCGTAGCCTATTTCCTATTAATGATCTGGATTAAAAATGTCACTTTAGTCATCTTATGCATAATGAAGATCTCTATGGAATTTGAAACAAACCATTCCTCGGACTAGTTTTCCTCAATAGTATTTCTATGCAACGATCATGTATTAATAGCCATTACATGATCGTTTCATACACTATTTTTTCTCCAATAAATAATAAAAACAAAAATTCATTTTTTACTATTTATATTTCAACATAAGTATTTCATCGTCATCAGTCTATGAATCGCCAGTACTTTTGACGCGTTGTCATTGGATGACATTAGGAAATAAAAGTCAAACAACTTGAGTAAGTGAGATAGAAACTTAGTCCCACTTGGGCCGAAAATCCGTCTCATAATGAAAAGTACGTGTCTTCACTGCTCAAATTCTGTATCATGATTAAATAAGAAATCGGTTGCAGATACTTAATTCTACGGGAGTAAAAAATAGCTATTTATATATCAAGGTGGTGAAGGTATCCATTTTCTTCCGCGTGTAAACACACATGGGAGCAAATGAACCTTGAGGTTATGTGTTCTGTGGAAAAAACCTAGCCAGTGCCACCTGTAGCTGCTCGGTGCTAGAGTTAGGCGAGTGGAACACGCTATTTGATTTGGATAGAGCTTGCAATATTCAGGTGGACTTCATTTGTCAATCAGTTTTCTTTACAAGAAAAACGATATTTTTCAAGTGAATCATGATTATTATTAATATTATTGTAGATTCTCTTACCCGGCATCCGCGGAAAACCAAGATTGAGTAATCCTTGGCTGGAACATTTCTCGAGAGCAACTGAAATGAATTAGTTTTTGTTACATTACTTGCATGATCATATTGTCATATTATCATAAAATGAGCCGACTGAAAGGAGGAGACCTTGATTGTTTATACACTTTCTTCCAAATGCATATCCGAAAATATCCAAACAATTTCGTGAATTTGGATGGAACAAATATTTGATTTATAATGCCACAGACTTCATTCCTGATAGTAGGGATCTTACATTACTGATACTGAAGCCCCATAAAATAATATAATAATAAAAGCAATGATAATGTTTATTTGTATCAAGCATAATATACAATATTATGTACAGATTATAGGAGGAAAACTAAATAAACTTCGAAAGTTACAAAAGCTGTAGCAACTACTGATGCTTATGCGTGTCACTATTATGAAAATGATATTAGAGAAGGGATATAAGATATGTAATTCAATAGTATATTGTTCAACGAGCACGGAATAATAGTCATGCTGCGAATCATAGGAGTGGGAAATTAGCATTCCGTGCGAGTTATACACTATACTTTTTCTAAGGCTGTAACAGATAACAGCGAAATTCGTAATTTTTCGGCTTGTAGCCATCTGATTTTCTGAGTACTGCTCGTCTATTAGAGAGAGTTAATATTGCTTGGAATTTGACATTTCATTGGAGATGAGATTTTGTGAAATAATAACACAATGAAGTCATTGTGATATCAGATACGGAACAATAAAACAAGAACAATTTGTTATAGCCGTAGAAAGTAGAATATTGTTCAACGAGCATGGAATGACAGTGATTTTCCACAAGAATGAAGTTTGCAGCATGAGCCGTAGGCAAATGCTGCAATCATTCGAGTGGGAAATTAGAATTCCGTGCGAGTTTCACACTATATTTTTTCTACGGCTGTAACAGGTAACAGCGGCCTTTTTGATTTCTTCTTCTTGTAGCCATTTGATTTTCTCTTGAGTTCTGCTCATCTATTAGACAGAGCTGTCATTGCTTTAAATTTGAAATTCTCTGGGTGATGAGATTTTTTTGAAATAATAACACAATGCAGTCATTGTGATATCAGATACGGCAATAAAATTGATGACATACAAAGTACCTCATTGATGTATCGAACACAGTAAAACAAGAGCAATTTTGTGTTATAGCCGTAGAAAAAATATATTCTGAATGAGGTGTTCAGAATGTTTTGCGGTTGCTAGAAAAGTAAAGATTGACATTGTTGGTATGGTTTCGACAAAGACGAGGATATTTTTCATTCTATTTCTTGATTCAATGTTGTTATTTGTTAGTTACAAAATCTCGAAATAATACTCTAGGAGTACTGAGAACCAGGAATGCACACTTTTTTTCGAACATTATATAAACAAGTATTGTCAAATTATCAAAGATATCATTTCGATCCTGGTTGTTGAGATCAGATTCTTTACTTGGAACAATAATTTTCGTTTTGGGCAACAATTTTTCTTGATATTTTGTATTTTATTATTTCCTATTTTTCACCAAAAACCATCATTTATATGCTCTGTTTTGTATTTTTTCAGTTTCTGTAGGTTGGCCAAACCATATTATACAGATTTATTATAACTAACCGGCATAGAGGATTGTTATGTAGAATTTTCAATTCGAAAAATATAATTTCAAGATGCTCGATATTTCGAAAATTAGGAATGTTATAGGACTTTGGAAAAATTATTGAAATAACACTCACCTGCATTGTCGTTGAATTCAGATAACGATGAAATACCTCTTGAAATAATTTCAATTTCAATTTGGTTTGTTCATGAAACTACGAAAGCGTAGAAAGGCCACTGTTGTGTGTATTCTATTTTATTTCTTTATTCAGACTTTAAAGTCTGAATTCAGACTTTTTTCTCTGAATTCAGACTTTCTTCTCTGAATTCAAACTTTTTTGTCTGAATTCAGACTTTTTTCTCTGAATTCAGACTTTTTTCTCTGAATTCAGACTTTTTTGCTCTGAATTCAGACTTTTTTCTTTGAATACAGTATCTTTGCATGCCATGCTACCCAACCATTGTTGAGTTAGTATCGTTAATGTCGAATATAGTTCTCGAGTTATTGATGATCTATTTAATCATCAATCTTGCATTATATCAGAAGGATTGATTTGGTCATAAGTTATACTATTTTGGCAGCACTTATGCTGTCAACTACCCTATGAAAAGTGAGACTCACCATATATATTATATAAACTATATTCTCGCTTTTTATATAGGGTATAATAGTTATTTATGTATTAAGGGAATTATTACCGATGGCAAAGTTTGCGTCCCGAGGGCCTCTGGCCCGAGGGACAGCAATTGCCAGAGGTTATTGAGGCTCTATAATTTCCGTGATACATAGATAATTTTATTTCTGACTGATTTCATTCATTAGATACCTTCCCGATTGGAAGTTAGACATGTTTTTCCGTATAGTTTCAATGTCATCAGAACGTCAGATGATGATCTTGACTACCGCAAATAGGAGATTCCTTAATGCTACGTTATTGCGTGGTTGTTGCTATGCATTTCTTATTTAATTTTAGCTAGAGGGAATTATAGCATCTATAACATCCCAAGGGAGTTATGACCCTCATTATAGATATCGTAACTATGACGATATAAGCTTATAATGTCACTGTCAGAAATAAGTATATTTGAATAAGCATCACATCATTTATTATAGACGTTTTGACGCAGTGACCTGCAAATAATAATAAAATTAATCAACCCCATGAAAAATAAATGACATAAAAGGTAGGTATACTTACTGAAATCAGTGTATTACCCTCGGTATTACCTAATGTGAATGTGTTATTCAATGAATTGATAGAAAAAAGTCTGAATTCAGAGAAAAAAGTCTGAATTCAGACTTTAAAGTCTGAATTCAGAGAAAAATGTCTGAATTCAGAGAAAAAAGTCTGAATTCAGACTTTAAAGTCTGAATTCAGAGAAAAATGTCTGAATTCAGAGAAAAAAGTCTGAATTCAGACTTTAAAGTCTGAATTCAGAGAAAAAAGTCTGAATTCAGAGAAAAAAGTCTGAATTCAGACAAAAAAGTTTGAATTCAGAGAAGAAAGTCTGAATTCAGAGAAAAAAGTCTGAATTCAGACTTTAAAGTCTGAATAAAGAAATAAAATAGAATACACACAACAGTGGCCTTTCTACGCTTTCGTATGAAACCTTCAAAGATGAGAAAGTGAAAATTTTATATTTTTCAACATACTCATATTCCTTCTCTTCAAAAAATTTCAGACTATCGATTGAATTTCTCTCTTACGTCTTGTAATAGTATTATTTCAAGCTCAGTAGCATTTTGGGTCAAATCATCTGATTTGCCTCTACCACAAATTTATTGAAATAATATAATTTATACTGATAGGTAAGTGGAGAGTATATCCCAATAGTTTGGATTAATTTCTGAATCATAATATTCTTACTGTAAGTGTCTTTTGAGAAAATATTCACACACATATTATCTGCACTCAGCGAAAAACAAATTGAATTTCATATAATCAGGTTAGTTGAGAGTTATTTAGGCAAAATGATTTCAATAACTTATTAGAAAAATACTGAAAACGTGAATTCCGATGTTCTCTATGAAATTTTTATTTTGTCTGGTAATGATTGATCGTGAATGGAAAAGAATGGTGCTTGATTTTTGACATGAAAGTGAGTGAAACTAAAAAATAAGTAGTAATTGTAATCGTTATGTGACAATGGTGTTGGTGAGTGTTCTTTCTACTCGTTTGACAGCCCTTGAACTATCACTTATAATTTCCCTTGCAGCAGAATTATTGCCGATTTTTTTTTCAAGATCACGATTGTTTTTCAAGACCACTAATGTTTTTCAAGGCCACGAATGTTTTCAAGGCCACGATGGTTCCAAAGGTCATGAATAGTTTTCAAGGTCACGATATTTTTTTTTGTAGAAAATTATCCCGAGTCGATAACGAAATCAAGGTCACGAATGTTTTTAGGACGAGGGAAATTTTCTATCAACAAAAACTTGAGTGATACTGAGAAAAAAATTATCAGAAATTAATTCAGCTGCGTGGGAGATTCGGTAAGAAAATTTCATGAATTGGAGTTGCTTTTGATATGATGAGAAGATGAACCCCACGACCCATTCTGAGTAGATGTCAAATAAAATTTGACACTTAGGTGTTACTCGTTTTTATAACTGATATGTGAGAAACATTAAATACCATTTTTTTTATCTGAAATCCAATGTCCTCATAGTTTTAAATTCAAATAACACTTGAAAAAACATATTTCCGATGAGTTTAGTTATATATGAAGCACAATATTTTTACAATAGAAGTTGATTATATTTGTTAGTAACTAAGATGTATTACTAAAATTTCAGGAACATTAAAAACATTAATTCGATTCCGAACATCATATCTGATATTAAATGTCAATCTAGTTTCAAATGAAACCTAAAAAACATATTTTCCATACCGCACTATATTTTTACAAAAAAAAGTTGATTTCAATAAATTGTGAGTGACTAAGGTTGATTACTAAAATTTCAGAAACATTCAAAACATTAATTCGTTTTCAACCATAACATCTGATATTACATGTCTAAATAGTTTCAAATGAAATACTGAGTGACTTTTGTCAATAGATATAAAGGCGCTTCATTTTTGACAGAATAATTGTCACATTAATTCCATTAAGTTAAAAGGACCGAACAAAATTATCACGATAGTCACCCGTTGCTATTAGCAACGTAATTGAAATGGAGCCTTCTAATTGGTTCAAAATAAATTTATGAAATTTTCCCGGAATTTTTATTTTCCACATGTTGATTTTTGCCAATCCACTATACACATTCCAAAAAACCTGCACTTCCGATAACACCATTTTTGACACTCATCGAACTGAACCGAAACACTTCTCTCCCGTTTTTCCTCACTGTTGCACTTATGCCCAAGGGATTCCATAAAGTCACAAAAGATCACCGCAAGCATTATTATAACATCATTATTATCGTTTAGTTGTCGACTATC